GATGGGGCTAATAGACAGACTACACATGAACTCTTATAGCTCAATAGCAAAAAGTAACTAAAATAAATAGCTTGATTAAAAAAGTGGGCAAAGACTTGAATAAACATTTTTTCCGAAGAAGATACACAGGAGGCCAACTAGTACCTGAAGAGATTCTCAACGCTGCTAATCTCGGAGGAAATGTGAAGGAAGTGACACTGTCCCCTCACACTTGTTAGAATGCCTGTTGTTAAGGAGATGAGAGCTGACACATGTTGCTGAGGATGTGGATGGAGAAAGGGGGACCCTCATGCGCTGTTGGTAGGAATGTGAATTGGTGCAGCCACCATGGTAACAGTATGAAGGTACCTCAAAAAAGTAAAAAGTAGAACTACTAAATGGTCCAACAATCCCACTTCTGGGCATATATTGGAAGGAAATGAAACTAGTATCTCCGAGATCATTGCCCTCCCATATCATTGCGGCATTATTCACAACAGCAAAGACACAGAAACAACCTAAGTACGCACTGATGGAAGAATGGACAAAGAAAATTATGTCTAAAACAGAAGCCGCAGGAAGAAGGAAATCCTGACATTTGTGACAACATGGATGAACCCGGAGGACATTGGGCTAAGTGGAAGAAGCCACACACAGAAAGACAAATATTGTATGATCTCACTGGTGTGTGGAATCTGAAAAATTCAGACTCGGAAACAGAGAGTAGAATGGTGGTTGCTGTGGGGGGAGGGACGGGGAGATGCTGGTCAAAGGGCACAAACTTTCAGTTATAAGATGAACAAGTTCTGGGAATTAATGTACAGATGGTGACTAGCACTCTACTGTGTACTTGAAATTTGCTACGAGACTAGATCTCCAGTGCTCTCCCCACGTGAAAAAGAGTAACCCTGTGAGGTGACGGGTGTGCCGATTAACGTGATAGCGGTGATCATTGCACAGTGAGCTTATATTAAATCATTACATTGCATACCTTAAGAAGATCATGCAGCCCAAACACGTACTATTTTCATTTGCCAACCATACCTCAATAAAGCTGGGAAAAATACAAATGACTTGGTGTGATGAGACATGAGAGGCCCACCGAGATGGAGAAGCCTGGCTCCATCAGCGTCCGGGGCCGAGGGTCCAGACTGGTTCAGACGGCAGCCGCCCGAGACGAGATGCTCAGAGCAAACCGATGCTAGAACAAGTTCATTCGAGGACGTGATGTGTGATGACGGATCTCTCAGGTGTGATCTCTCCACCCCTGCTACCTCGGTAGGAAGGAGGGGAAGGTCTAATTTACTGTGGGAAGATAAGAGAAACAGAACACTTGACTGAGGGGCCGTCACCGTAACTCCTTATTCTCTTTGGTTTACATGTATCTTTTTCTTTCTCTCTCTCTCTTTATTTTTAGATTTTTTAAAATTGATTTTGAGAGAGAGAGAGAGAGAAACATTGATGTGAGCGACACATCAATGGCCTGCACACCCCCTGCTGGGGACTGAGCCCACAACGCCAACATATGCCCTGACCAGGAATCGAACCGGCAACCCCTGGATGCCTGGGACACGCCCAACCAACTGAGCCACATGCATCATTTTCTATCAGATAAACCACCTGCCACAGAGACCTTTGGAAATGGGATCGTTCTGCTTCTGGGGGGAGGGGACACCACCTCCTTGAAAGGCTCTGTAGTGGGTGTTCTTTGCAGACGAGGGATGCTTCACAGTGGGAGATGCCACCTTTGAAATGGCCCCCTAAATTCAGAGCAGCATGATGGGGTCCAGGCAGAGCCGAGGCCCGGAGAAAGAACGCCAGAGGCGGACGCGGTCAGCGCCGGGAAGCAGGGACGCCGCGGTCAGAGCAGAGGAGGCCTGTGCAGAAGTCGGTGGGTCTGGCAGGCTGGCGGCCGATTGAAGTCTCACTTCGAGCAAGTGAAGAAACTCCTAGTGAACAGAGATGTGACATGAGTCACCTCACTCTGGAGTTCGGCCCCCTTATCCAAGTCCCAGAAAGAAGCCAGCTCCCAGACCCTGAGCCCCTTCACTGAGGAGAGAGTAGGTCCCCTAAGGAAGGACCGAGCGACACCGCCAGACATGGATGTGGTCAGTGCTCCCCCGCCCCCCGTTCTCCAGAGGGACTGTGCCTGCAGAGGAAGAAGGATCAGACTCTGTGAAGGTTACTGCCCAGGAACAGGGCTGGGACTCAGACTGGCCTTTCCTACTGGCCCACGAGCAAAAAAAAAAAAAAAAATTAATTTATTGATTTTAGAGGTAGAGAGAGAGAGAGAAACATTGAGGATCAAACCCGAAACTCTGGTGTATAGCAGCCGATGCTCTAACCAACTGAACTTCCTTCGGGCCACCTAAAGTCAGTCACAGCGGACACTCTTCCTCCTTCCTGTCTTCCTATCGGTCAGCATTTCCTGTTAGGATTTTTGGGTTTCATTCCTTCAGTCATTACTCAACAAATAGTTCTTGCCCTGGCCGGTTTGGCTCAGCTGTTAGAGCGTCGGCCTGCGGTCCAGAGAGAGCCGGGTTCGGTTCCCGCTAAGGGCACGTACCTTGGTTGTGGTTTGTCCCCGGCCCTGGTTGGGTCGTGTGGGTGGCAACCACTCGATGTGTCCCTTTCACGTTGATGTTTCTCTCTCTCTCTCTCTCCCTCCTACTCTATCTGAACAAAATATCAAAGGATGTCCTGTGTGAGGATAAAAAAAAAAAAAAAGTTCTTAAACATCTATAACATGCCAGATACAGTCTCTAGCTCTGGGACCGCAACATAATAACAAAGCCAGACAGGTCCCTTCTCTCCCGAACTGTCTAGGTCTCTATCATGCTCAGAAAGACAGTCCCATCTGGAGATCGTGAAAACAATTGCCTGTGTTTTTCTTTTGAGTATTTTCATGGTATTATATTGTTTTGTCTTCATAGTTTTAGCCAGTTTGGCCCTGGCTGTTTTGCTCAGTGGTTAGAGCGTCGGCCTGCGGTCCAGAGAGACCCGGGTTCGGTTCCCACTAAGGGCATGTACCTCTGTTTCGGTTTGTCCCCGGCCCTGGTTGGGTCATGCAAGTGGCAACCACTTGATGTGTCCCTTTCACGTCAATGTTTCTCTCTCTCTCTCTCTCTCTCTTCCTTCCACTCTATCTGAACAAAATATGGAAAAGTGTCCTCGGGTGAGGATTAAATAAATAAATAAATATTTAGCCAGTTTGGAAATTATTTTTGTAAATGGTGTGAGGTAGGGATCCTAATTTTGATCCTAATTTCCAAATGAAAGCTAATTATTGCAGTCTTTCATGTGTGTGCCTGTGTAATCCATCCTTCACCATGATTTGAACTGGCATTATTGTCGCACAGTAAATTCCCACATATATCTGGCTTTATTTCAGACTCTTCGGGTAGTGAGCTTCTAAAGCGGTTCCCAGCGACCCCTGCCTCCTGGTGCCCTGCCCCGTGCAACACTCTGCCTGGAGTGTGAGCTGGAACCAGTGACGTGCTCACCGCAGAGTACAAGTGACGGCTGTCCCTTCGAGATTACGTTCTACAAGGGTGTGACTCTCTCCTGCTGTCACTCTGTTCCCTCCACTGGCCAACGCTGTGCAGCCAGCTGCCAGGCCGTGAGCTGCCCGATGGAATGACTCCTGCGTTAAGAAACGGACGGTGTTGGGCTCCGGCCAGTAGTCGGGAAGAAACTGAGGCTCTGAGTCCAACAGACCACGAGGAACTGAATCCCACCAGCAATCGCTGAGTGAGCGAATCCTGGGTCTTTGAACTTTGAGATGACTGTGGCTCCAGTGGGCACCTGGAGCAGGAGGGTCCGGCTGAGCACATCTGGTCAGACCCATAGGCCAGGAGACAAGTAACGTTGTTGTAAGTCAGGCATAGCCTGGCACTGTCTCCAGTCCTCTGCTTGAAGGTGGGGTTCCTCTACCTCTGCGCAGTCTTAGGGTCCAGCTCTGTACCAGTTCTCCTGCGGATGTGGCCACACCAGTGGATTTATCCCTGGCCCAAGAGACCCCCTCGTGACAGCCAGATAGAGCAGTTACCAGGGCCCATGTGACATCCAATCACAAGTTTCTGTCATCTCACTTGGGGTTATCATGCCATTAACTTAATTTTTTAAAGAGAACCATGTACACATATGAACAGCAAGCAAGCAGAATTCCAACCACTGAGGGTTTTTTTAAAAACAAAATTTTGAGAAGACAACTCTGAACAAAGAACTTGCAGCCACGCGTAAGTCCTTCCTAGTAGAGATGAGCAACTTTCCGGGGAAGGGACGTGGAGCCCCGAGCTGGAGAGAACAGACAGCGGTGGTGGGAAAGCCACGTCCCCGGCACGGCCAGCTCTGCCTCGATGCCACACGGCACGCCGCTCTTCCACTGGATGATGATAGACCTGAAGAGAGGATAAAAACCATGCGGATGTCGAATAAACGCACTTTAGAGATGGCATTTCATTCCTCGTTAGTGAGGAACCAAGCAGATGCTGTCTCCAGTTCAAAGGAGAGTCCTGAGGACAGGTTTCCACGGACTGATTAGGAATATTGAAATGGTCTGTGCGTGCGTGTTGGGGCGCGGTTGTTCCTCCACTGAACAGAATGGATTTGCGTGCCTTTGGACAAAGATGGTTTTGCATTTCTATCAGTCTTGTACAATTTACAGAGTTGAGAAATAGCTCAAAGGCACTAAGAGGCTAGAATTGCCTCTCCCCTCCCCCCAGGCAGGTTTGGCCTAACAAGGTGTAATTTTCATTTTGGGACAACCAGTCATCTTTTTTGCTTATTCCAAACTTCCTTAAGACTCAAAGAGGAGCCATGGCCGGTTTGGCTCAGTGGTTAGAGTGTTGGCCCGCGGACCAGTGAGTCACAGGTTCGCTTCCGGCCAAGGGCACGTATCTCAGTTGCGGTTCGTCCACAGCCCTGGTTCGGGTCGTGTGGGAGGCAACCAGTCAATGTGTCCCTCTCACATCGGTGTTTCTCTGTCCCTTTCTCCCTCTATTTCCCTCCCACTCTATCTGCAGATAAATAGAAGAAGAAGAAAAAAGACTCAAAGAGGAATTTTAAAGTCTCTCGTTAAAGCTGATGTCAAGTTTCCAGCCACCAGGGGCAAGAATAAACGGTACTACACTCATTATTCACAAGCCAGATGTGCCACAGCCTGGCTCCCACTTTCTCTCACGGGCTGTCTTTATCTGTTACTCTTTTCAGAAAGATCAAGGGTCCCGTTCGGGGTCACACAACTTAGTGCCGGAGCAGGTTCCAATGTCTGAGTGATCGCAAAGCAAATCCAGTCCTGAGTTTCTTGGCTAAGAGTTCTTGTTACAGGATAATGAGAAGCTAGGAAAATGTCAGGGCAGGAGAAATAGGGAAACTGAGGCAAGAAAAGTGAAACAAGGCCGAACAGTTTGGGCAGCTTACAACCAGCTTGTAAATAACGAGCCCTTACCTTCCCCAAGGACACGTGAGAGCCAATGGTTGATACCTCTCTCCTCACAACTAAAGAATGCAGAAAAGGAGGGGGAAGGGAAGGGGAAGGGGGGAATCTTCATGCTCCTTCTCTGTACCCAGAGAATTCATACTCGATTGTGGGGAGGCACCAGGACATTGTTTTAAAGAAGAAAGAGAGTTGATTGTGTCTTCAGGTCTGAGGACTGTACCCCAAATATATGAGATACAAGAGCAAGAGGGGATCGATAGATGGGGTGAGGGACATGGGAGGGTGGACTCCTGCTCATACCTGGCACAGTATAGGAATGGGGGAGAAGAGACGGGAAAAGTGGGGCCTGGAAAGGCCCAGTGGCCACGAGTCTGCCTTCAGACATCTCTGGCATTGCGTCTGTGTGGCCAGCCCTGTGACCTCAGAATTACACGGAGTCTAAGCAGAAAGCCAGTGTCTGCCTGGAGAACAAGCTGTGACAAACCAGTCCGTACCTGGTGGCTGGAGACAGCAAGTACTCACTAGGTGTCACCGGCTGCGGTTGGCTGGGCTCAGCTGGGTGGCTCTTCTGCTCCTTGAAGTAGGAGGGTCATCCACGCGGCAGCATTTAGCTGGGAGCTTGGCTCACAGGCGTCGCCGGATCATCTCACTCTCCACTCTCATCCTCCAGACCTTTTCTCTCCACGAGGCCCCTGCGGCTGGAGAACCTGGGCTACTTCTCCACTGGCTGCCTTCTGAGAGAGCCCAAGGAACGGAAAGACCTGCGAAGGCCTGGTCCCCGAGGCCACACAGCTGCTCTCCCACTGCATTTCCCCACGTCCGGCTGACATAGGTCCCAGATGGCTCAGCTCCGAGGGGAGGAGAAATGGATTCCACTTGTCAGCACAGAAGGGCCTGTGCGGGGGAGGCCCCGATGGGCCATCTTTGGAAACAAGTGACCACAGCCCGTTTCAGAAGCCAGTGTGATAACTGAACACTCATCTTCTAACACAGGCAAGCAGCTGAGGTATGAGATACAATTTGCAGGGAAATATCCTGTATGAAAATGTTTCACCAGAAGGGGAAATGAAAGTCACTTGAACTTCCCTTCCCCGTAACACCATCAGCCAGAAATCCCTTTTCTGATGATTAAAATTCTTTGTTTAAAGAAAAATTTTTTTTTCTTTATTGATTTAAGAGAGAGGAAGGGAGAGGGAGAGAGAGATAGAAACATCAGTGAGAGAGAACATTGATTGGACACCTCCTTCATGACCCCACTGGGGATTTGGCCCACAACCTGGGCATGTGCCCTGACCGGGAATTGAACTGGTGACCTCCTGGTACATGGGTCGAAGCTCAACCACTGAGTCACACCGGCTGGGCATAATTAAAATTCTTTCTTTCTTTTTTTTTAATCTTTATTGTGGAATGTAAAATGTATTACAGATGTTCCACATTTTCCCCCCATTGACTCCCTCCTCCCCACTCCCGCCCCCTTCCCGCCTTTTCCCACACTACTGTCTGTGTCCATTGGTTATGCATATAAGTTCTTTGGTTTATTTCTTCCCACCCCCCAACCCCCTTCCCTTTGAGGTTTGTCAGTCTAGCAATGAATTTGTACTTCTTAATCTCTTCACCTTTTTCACCCATTCCCTCAACCCCCCTCCCATCTGGCAACCAACAAAATGTTCTCTGTATCTATGAGGATGTTTCTGTTCTACCTGTTCATTTTGTTTGTAGATTTCATTGTCGATAGATATGTATTCATTGCCATTTTGTTTGTTCATATATTTTATCTTTTTCTTCAAAAAGACCCTGCATCATTTCATATAATAACGATTTGGTGGTGATGAACTCCTTTAACTTTTTCTTGTCTGGGAAACTCTTTATATGGCCATCGATTCTAAATGACAGCTTTGCAGGATAGAGTAATCTTGGTTGTAGTTTCTTGCTTCTTATCACTCTGAATATTTCTTGCCACTCCCTTCTGGCCTGCAAAGTTTCTTTTGAGAAATAAGCTGACAGCCTTATGGGAACTTCCTTGTAGGTAACTAGCTGCCTTTCTCTTGCTGCTTTTAAGATTCTCTTTGTCTTGAACCTTTTGCATTTTGATGATGATGTGTCTTGGTGTGGGCCTCTTGGGGTTCATCTTGTTGGGGCTCTCTGTGCTTCCTGGACTTGTATGTCTGTTTCCTTCACCAAGTTAGGAAAGTTTTCTGCCATTATTGTTTCAAACAGATTTTCGATTTCTTGTTCTCGCTCTTCTCCTTCTGGCACCCCCAAGATGTGAATGTTGGCACACTTGAAGTTGTTCCAGAGGCTCCTTACACTATCCTCATTTTTTTGGATTATTTTTTCTTTTTGCTATTCTGATTGGGCATTTTTTGCTTCCTTATATTCCAAATCGATGGTTTGCTTCTTGGATTTACGTACTCTACTATTGAAGCTGTGTAAATTATTCTTTATTTCAGTTAATGCCTCCTTCAATTCTGACTGTGCATTCATAATTTCTGACTGGTCCTTTTTTATGCTCTTGAGGCCCTCCCTAAGTTCACTGAGGTTCTCACTAAGTTCATTGAGCATCCTTATAAGCAGTATTTTGAACTCAGCATCTGTTAGGTTGCTTATCTCCATTTCGCTTAGTTCTTTTCTTGGGTTTTTGTTCTGATCTTTCATTTGGGACCTGTTTCTTTGTCTCCTCATTTTGGCTGCCTCCCTGTGTTTGTTTCAGTGTATTACTTAACGAGAGGTATGGGGTTAGCTGCGACCAGATGCGGCTCGTTTGAAAGAATTTAGGAAAAACCTGAAGCAGGATCCAAGACAGGCCAATCCTATGGTTAAGCAACTGGCAACAGCTTGGGTGGGCCTGAAAGTTGGGTGGGGCAGGGCGGGGCCTCAGGGAGTCACCAGGGCGGGGCTACCAGTGTGAGCCAGGTTGCTGGAGTCCCAGATATGGAGACTGTCTGCTGTCCCCGGGAAGGGCTCACCAAAGGAACAAAGGCCTCTGACAGCACGTTTGTCCCGGAGAAAGCCCCCTCTCCAGCCCTCGCTCCAATGCCAAACAGCTCAGTTCTTCCCTGTATGTCTCTGGTGCCCCTCCAGCTGCCTCCCCTCCAAGCTTAGAGGGAGTGAGTCCGATAAGTCCGTGTGCGGGCCCTTTAAGGAGCTGCCTGGGGCTCCAGCCGCCTCAGCCTCCCTGAGCCTCAGTTCCCGCTGGTTTTCCAGCCAGAAGTTACGGGGATTCTCTTCCTGGCACTGGAACCCTGAGCTGGGCACCTGGTGTGGGACGGGGACCCCTCAGTCCTCAGAGAGGACCTTCCCAGCCGAGGTGTCCTCCTGATTTTTATCCACCACACGTGGGTGTGGGACCAGCCCGTCCCCTCCGCCCTCCTCCCAGTCTGGATGCGGCTGCTGATTTAATTCCATAGCTGTAGGACTGCCATTTAGGATGATTTCAGGTGGTTTTGAATGATGGTTGTTCTGTAGTTTAGTTGTAACTTTGATGTGGTTGTGGGAGGACGCGATGCCGCGTTTACCTACCCGCCATCTTCTCTCTAGAGTGATTAAAATTCTTAAAAGTGATATTTGCCTTCCATGAATAACAACTGAAGATGGTGAAGTGGAACCTGAGGCATCACTGGAACAGAGGGATGTAACGTTTGACCCTAATTTATTGGCTGTCTACAGTCCATCTCGGGGAGCTGGCCCGTGTGCTCAGGCCGCTCCCAGTGGGACAAGAGAGAGTCGGATGGAAAGAGAGTTTCAGGTAATTGCGGGAGGAGCTACAGCAGAGGATGTGGGGAGCCCTGGGTACCCCAGTGAGAAGGGACACCAGCAGGGAGACAGGTGGAAAGAAATTGATAAAAGAAGGGCCTTTGATGGTATTTATCACAGTCCAGGTGTTTGTTTTTCTTCCAGATTGGAATTTTATTCTTTTAAAAAAATACGTGTATTGTTAACTACAATACAAGTACCCCAAATCACACAGAACGTGTTTAGCTTAAGTTGCAAGGTGAACATCCTTGTAACTGCTTGCTCAGAGGAGCCAGAGCCTGGCCAGCCAGCCAGAGCCCTCCACACGCTCCCAGTCCAAGCCGGAGGCTCCCAAAACCAGTATCCTGACTTCTACGGCAGCACTCATCACTTGTTCACTTTTATTTATTGCTTTATCATCCAGTGTGCCTCTCTGAACATGACACCATAGTTTTGCCTTTTTAGAAAAACCTAGACTAGAGGTACCTCTCTGCTGCTTTCTATCCTCCAATGTGTTTATGTACCTTTTATGCTGAAATTGAATCAGTCCGTTGCAGTATAAACACTATTTATTATTTCAAGAGTAAAACATTGCACTAATTAATGATAATGAAGGCTATTAATTTTATGAAATAAAACAATAATTGAGCTTTAAACAGTTGAATTGGGAAGTTGATGGTTAATATAAATAGTAAGAGAGTGTATTTGCTGATAATTTCAGGAAGAACATAGTACATCTGAACTTATTAAATTTAAATAACAATAAAAGGCAGAAAATAGATTTAGTTATATTATCTAATCTCCATAGATTTAGAGTACCAGCATTTCTCACATGGAACAGAATCCCTTTAAGTATTCTATTTCATTAAAATTTTTTTTTTCTTCATTGATTTTTTAGAGAGAGGGAGAGACAGATAGAAACATCGATGAGAGAGGACATCGACTGGCTACCTCCTGCATGCCCTCCACTGGGGATCGGCCCCACAACCTGAGCATGTGCCCTGACCAGAAATCGAACTGGCGACCTCTTGGTGCACGGGTCAATGCTCAACCACTGAACCACACCGGCCGGGCTCTATTTCATTTTTTAGAGGTTTAAATCATTTTAGGGCATAGATCCTACAGGAAAACTGTCTCGTTGGAGAATTGTTCACATCTTGTGAGAATACATCAGAAGCAAAATGTCAACCCTGCCACATCCAACTTTCACAAAGAGAAAAGTGCTCAAAATTAGTTCAAGATCCATGATCAATTATTTTTTGAGGCAGACGTGATGAAAATGATAAAGAGAATTAAGAGAGGAGACAGTTTTACAGATAAACAGGGTACCCCAAACGCATTTTGTTCTTATTATTCAAACCTCAAAACATCAGACTGTACCAGGATGCCTTAGGAAGACCGTGCCTCATAGTGTTGAGCCTTTGGAGGCTAACAGTTAAACAAAATGCTTGCAGAAGTGACTGCTGTCGACTGCCAATCATTTTCAGAAGTTGAAGGTGAAGGCTTTGGGGATCTGCCTGAGCCATTGACCCTGAGTACAGAGTTCCTTCTAGAAACTTACTGCCCACAACTTTGACCAGAACGGTCTTCCACTGTGCGCTGAGATTAGGGGTATGTCTGATGTGCTGGCTGAATAGGAGTTTGCCAAGCTTCACGGGAGAGCAGGAGAGGACACCTGGGAGCGACCTACACCGACAGGGCTGAGATCTTGTTATTATTACGCAGGAAAATGTCAGCATTTAAGTTGGGAGACTCGCATTTATAATAATAAAGTTGCAGTAATATTCTGCTCCTGATGGATAATGTTTCAGATTTATTATTGGATCCTGGAAGCTTGTTTGAGGACGTGGATGGTTAACTCTGGTTCCTCAGGGCCCAGGGCTCTGCTGCTGGGGGTATTGGCCAGCAGGGGCCCTCCAGGCCTGCAGGGGCTGGGTTTGGGGCATAGGCTGGCAAATGTCGTCTGTTAGCCACTTGTCACAGATGAGACCTCAAAGCTATGTGGATCCTTTGACCATGACCCAGGCCCCTAAGTCCCTCTGGGCATCCCTGCCCCTCCCGTGGCCAGCGGCCATGTCCTGAGCCCAAGGGAGTCCGGGGCGGATGAGGCCCCAGCCTCTCCGCATCCCGAAAGCTCCTGGTCCCACAGCAGGTGGGTGAGTATTGCCTCCCCTCCAGCTTGAGAGATGGTGCAGCCACTTTGGAAGAGAGTTTGGCAGTTCTTACAAACTAAACACACTCCTACCATACGACCCAGAATTCATGCTCCTTGGTATTTACCCACAAGAGTTGAAAGCACGCCCACACAAAACCCGGCACGCAGATGTTCATAGCAGCTTTATTCATATTGCCCAGACATGGAAGCAAGGTGTCCTTCAGGGGGCGAATGGATGTGCCGGGCTCAGCACCGCTCAGCTCCCCACGCGCCGCCCTCCTCCCAGGGCTCCCTGAGCAATGACTGGCACGCGAGGACCCCAGGCCCGGCCATTTCTGCCCCACGGGGCCTTCTAACCGGCAGTGTTTGGCCGGAGTTCTCCGAGGGCTGCCGGATATCTCCCCAGGCCTAGACGGTCTGATGGCCTCTCCAGCCCGGATCCGCTGTCCCCTCTCCTTTCACCCCCAGCACATGCTTTGCATGTGTCCCTCCCTCTGAGGGACAGCTCCCTGGAGGTCTCCAGCCGTGACGGTTCCATAATTGCCACCTGCTGCGTGCACCGCTCTGGGCTGGGTTCTCCGGGGCGGACAGACGAGGGAGATGTGTCCTACACGCCAGGTCTCTCGGGACTTCAGTGAGTGAGGACTTGCACCGTTACATTTAGCTCCCAGAGAAATACAAACATTTTTCATGGTCACCTCTGTCTCAACCTCCCCCATCCACCAAATCAGCTTGGTTTATGGATGTTTCAGCCTCACCAAGCAACGTGAACCACCTGGCATCTATGTGCGTAGAGATATCTTGCAGGCTCTGAACCACAAGGCCAGGGTTCAAATCCTGACCCAGCCACCTCCCGGCTCGTTGACCTGGGTCAGGTCATGGAACTTCTCTGTGCCTTAGTTCCCTCACTTACAAAAAGGAGAGGATAAAGGTAGTGTCTGCCTCAGAAGGTTGTGGAGATTAAATGAGCTGATCCCACTAAATCAATGGGGCAGCACCGGCCAGAAATAAGCTCCCAATAATTCTCAGCTATTTCTTAAAAAATATTTTTTCTTTATTGATTTTAGAGAGAGAGGAAGAGAGATAGAAACATCAATGAGAGAGAACATAGATTGGCCACCTCCCACATGCCCGCCACTGGGGATCGGGCCCACAACCTGGGCATGTGCCCTGACTGGGAATCGAACTGGCGACCTCCTGGTGCCTGGGTCAACGCTCAACCACTGAGCCGCACTGGCTGGGCAATTCTCAGCTATTTTTATGGGGAACTCAGTCTTGTAACTTAGTTCGTCCCTCTCATTAGAGACCAGGTACAGGACACCCAGTGAAATTTGAATGTCGGAACACAATGAATAATTTTTTTAGCGTGAGTTTGTCCTTTATACCCCACCTCCACCCCTTTAGTCTTCTTCCCTCAGCCCCCCGGCTGGTGCCAGGAACTCCACCTGCTTCTCAGCCTGTTAGGGACAGCATTTCTTTTTTCCATTTTTTGCACAGATAGAGTGGGAGGGAGAGAGAGGAAGAGAGAGAGAGAGGGAAACATCGATGTGAAAGGGACACATCGAGTGGCTGCCACCCGCACGACCAACCAGGGCCGGGGACAAACTGCAACCGAGGTACATGCCCTTAGCGGGAACCGAACCTGGGTCTCTCCGGACCGCAGGCGGATGCTCTAACCGCTGAGCCAAACCGACCAGGGCTAGGGACAGCATTTCTGTGCTCGGCCACACTGTCCTCAGACTCCCTGTGGTGCCGCAAAGACCCAAGATCCTTCGTTGCACAGAACTGTCCTTCTGAATGCCGCTGAGTTTCAACCCGCACCCATCCCCACCCACCCCGACACGTCTACACGCTTCCGGTTTGGTTTGGCTTTACAATAAGAAATATTTTATTGCAATTTTTGTTTTTCAGTTAACAGCACCCGAACACCTTGGAATTAATAGCTTGGATTTCCTTCTAATACCGATAGGTCCATCTCATTCATTTTTAACACAGGTTCTACTTTAGAATGTAATTTCACTATCGGTGACCGTTTAAGTTGTTTATCATTTTCATCCACCACCAACATTGCTGCAAGGGACAGGGATTTGTGAAAAAAAAAAGCAACGAGAACATTTGCTCTGAGGTGTATTAAAACGTTTTGTAAAACGAGAAAGAACCATTGAAACGGCGGGGCGCTGTTGAGAGAACATGACCATAAAATTGAAAGCCTAGAAACTAAGTACATACGGGGCCTTTCTGGATCAGGAACGTGGCATTTCGGATCCATGGACAAAGAACAGGTGAATCAGCAGATGATACAGAAACACCTGGGCCACTCGCGGGGCACAAGGCCAGCTCTCCATCTCACACGCGTGCCTTCCAAAGTCATTCACATTCTACATGCAAAGCTTGAAACACAAAAAGAACTGGAAACCAAATAAATTAATTAGGACACATGTGCTTTGAAGTGGGGAAGGCCTTTGGAAAGTTGACCCCTGCACCGGAGCCAGGTTGGGGCTCAGGGGAGGTCTGTGTGACACCCACGAGCCTCCTCCACACCGTTAAAGGACAAACCACAAACCGGGGGAAAATTGGCGCCATGCGTGAAAGACCACAGATAAATCACGTTTAAAAGCTCATCAGAAATGGTGAACACCTGGTAGAACCAAGCCTTTGCTGGGCTTAGCTCAGTGAAAAGTTACCAAGGCCCACGGAGTAGAAAAGTACGTGCAGCTGGCCAGTGTGGCTCAGTGGCTTGAGCGTCGTCCATGCACCAGGGGGTCACCGAATCCCAGTGGGGGGCGTGCAGGAGGCAGCAGATCCACGTTTCTCTCTCACAGTGTTTCTCTCTCCCTCTCCCTTCTTTTTTCTCTAAAATCAATAAAAACATTTTTACCAAAAAAAAAAAAAAGTACAAACTTGAAAGTTATCCAGTGATACAAATGAAAACAATTTAATGCTATTCTTGTTGCCGATCAGGAAGGCAAAGATTAAAAAGAACCATAATCCCCTCGTAGTCCCAGACATAGGCCAAAAGCCCCTCAGACTTGGCTGGTGGCAGCTGGGGTTGTAGGTCTTTCTGGAAAAAGGGCAGACAGGGCTTCCATCATTTTCCTTTGTTGAGCTGTTGTGTCCAACCTTTCCACAGTAGCCTTGGGTTCTGGACTCTCCTCTCCTCCTGAATTTTCCAGGCCCCCCCAGCCTGGGTGTAGGAAGGAGTTCCGCCAGGAGCCAGCACCCCACACCCCTCGCTCGGGTCAGGGCCCATCCATGACGCAGGCCCTGTGCCCTGACATGCCCCCGTCACCTTGGTGAGCTCAGAACAGTTCTTCCCCTGCACACCCCCTTATCACGCCCATTTCTGGGAGTGACAGTTGAGACCGGTGTGTTGTCGCCACAGCTGGGGCTGCAGCACCGGATGAAGGCAGGTCCAGACTGTGCTGCTTTTCCAAGCTTCCCACCCCCAAGGCCCACGCTCCAGGCCCCGGCCTTCCGCACCCGGGCTGGGACTTTGAGATGGTGACTGCTGGGCACAGGCTGGGGACGCAGGTCCTCCACACGACCGGACGTCCCGGCGTCGGGACAGGCCCTGACTGAGGTCTCAGAACACGCTGAGCTTGGGCCTCAGACTCACTCCAATCACACACCCGGGGAAGAGACAGAAGAAAAGAGCCAAAGCAGGGAACCTGGTCAAGAGAAAGGAGGTCGACGGAAGGAGGACGTACGGAACGTCCTAACAATTCAGAACCTAAAACTACGTAAACTTGAAAGAAAGGTGTGGGTGTGTGTCTGCGAGCTGGGGGCGGGGGATGGAGAGAGAGAGACAGGAGAAAAGCGTGACCTTGTAAAGGTCAAGGGAGAAGATAGATGGTCACTCATTGTCCTGGTCTCCCCTCCTTGGCCTTGTAGCAATGAGTGTGGGAAAGAGGTTGGTGGGAGAAAGGCAGCATGGGAGGGGAGGCATCTCCCTCCACGTGCTCCCCCAGGGTCTGCGGGGCTCAGCACACCTCCCCCGGCCTGCTGAGCTCCCAGGGAGGCAGCGACAGGTAGTCCTGCTGCTTCAGGGCTTTGAAGAGCTGGATGGCTGGCACCTGGGGAATGGCCTGGCACGAGGGCTTCTTGGCCTGGAACTCCTGGTCCAGGTCTTTGATCTCAGGACAGGGTCCAGGGGAAGAGGGCTTACTCTGGGGCGAGAGAGGGCCAGACCCCACGCCAGGGAGGAAGCAATAATCACCCACCTGCTGCAGGACCAGGAGCCCCTCGGGGTGTGGAGAGGCTGGGGCCACATCCACCCGGGACTCCCTTGGGCTCAGGATGTGGCCGTTGGCCACAGGAGGGGCAGGGCTGCCCAGAGGGGCCGTAGGGGACTGGCCCATGGTGGGAGGGAGCTCCACGTAGCTGTCAAACACTGACTTCCCGGGGGCTGGGGCTTCAGGGGGCCCCCGGGCCGGTCCAAGACAGAGGCTGTGGTTCTGGGCTGAGGGGATTCCCAGAGGAGGAGCTCGGGAGGCAGACGGTGCCTCTGTGCATAAGGCGAGGGCCAGGTCTGCAGTGCTGACATAACCAGAGGCCATGATGCTGTCCTCGGGGCCCCCAGACACAGCAGACAGAGCTTCGGAGCTGTCCTTCGTGCTCTGACCACCCACCGTCAGCCCAGGCGCAGGAGGGACAGGGCCCGCCCCTGACCCCGGGGAGGGGCGCCCCTCAGCGTCCGGGCAGGGTCTCTTCTCCGCACCGCTGGCCTGGCCCTGTGCCAGCACCTGGGCCAGCGGGACCAGCTGCACCTGCTCCCCTTCAGGCAGGCACAGGTACTCCAGGGACGCTGGTGGCAGTGGCGTGTGGCTTACGCCCAGCGGTGGGAGCACCTCCTGGCCCACGAGGTCAGGCAGGGAGAGGCTGTGTGGGGGCCCCAGGTAGGGGCCATTGAAGTCGTAGCTGGAAGCCTGGCGCTCAAGCGTGCCCGAGGGGTCGGACAGGCAGGGCAGGGGACTTGTGGGCAGCTCCGTGGTCAGGTCCGAGGCATCCGGAGTCGTGACAGGCTCAGATGGTGAGTCATGGGCCTTTTTAGGGTCCTCTATGGTGAGAGGTGACACCTCGCTGTACACGCTGTCTATAGGGGACACCCTGTGGGAGAACAGGTGCAGAATGTTGGGACCACCCTGGACAGACAACCCGGCTCAGGTGGGAGGGGCTGCGGGGGACGGGACTCTGGAAGGCCTGGGACCCGCAGGGCTCACAGGGAGCACAGAGCAGGGCGAGGCAAGGTGGGTGGGGGGGACCCCAGTGCGAGAAATCAGACCTTCCTTCATCTCCCTGTGGACCTGGCCCTAGCCTCCACGCTCTTGCTCAAGGGCCTCCTCTCCCAGGTGCGTCCCCTCCCCCTCTGCTCCTGGACGTGCCCAGCTCAGGGCCCGGCGACACCCAGCTGTGCGTGCTCAATCATTCCCTCCTTCCTCGAGCCCCTGCGTGCAGTGCTGCCTCCTGGTGTCCGCGGGAGCCGGTGCTCAGGGGCTGACCATGAGGGTCTGCAGCTCCTTGGCGCCCCCATGAGGCCCAGGCAGCAGGACACAGGTGCCTGTCAAACCTGAGCTACGGCTCTTGCTAAGGGGGAACCGGGAAGTTCTCCCAGTCATCCACGGGGGCACCCCTTGCGTTAGGGCAAGCCACCTCCTTGGACCTCTTCACAGAGAGCCACAGGCCAGAGGCCACCTCCTCTGAGCCGCAATGCGCACGGTGGGGCCACCTGCCCACCTCCTAGGGGCCCGGGGCCCGGACACTCACCCCTCGGGCCCAGGCGGGCGGCTGCTCCAGGGCGCTCTGCCCGAAGGGCTCCTGCTGGCGAGGGCCGCCGTGCTCTGGAAGAGACCATGGCTGTGGGCCCTCGAGATGGGGTTAGTGGGGAGGGCTATGGGCTGACAGGGACTTCAGTGAGCCCCCAGAAATGGGAGGAGCGTCAGCATGGGCAGGACTGACATGGCCTCTGACACCAGCACGGGAGGCCAGAGAGGGGCCGGGACTTCCCTGGGGTCCCCCACCCCAGATGGAAAGGCGAGGACCCTGCTGCGGGGACTCTGCTTATCTGCGGTGTCGCCGCCTCCGTGTTCACCCCGTCTTCCCACACTGGCCTTGAGACCCTCCGCACAGAGCTGGCCCTGCTGCCCGGTGGGCTCTGCCTCCCGTGATGTGCCCCGGCCTCCTCACCCACCCTCCCAGTCTTTCGTGACGTGGTCCGGTCTCAGCACCCACATGCCTCTGCCTTCAGCGACCTTTCCCACCTGGCACCTCGCAGACGCCTCAACGCTCAGCTCTGCCATCCGGGCTTCCCGCCACCCCACTCGCCCTCGTGAACCAACCCCTTCCTGAGCCCCTCTGCACTCCTGGCACCCCCACACCTAGCCGTCCTGCTCCACGTGGGCCCCTTGTGCATCTGTGGGGCCCAGGGGTCTTCAGGGATGGGCTTGCTCTCAGAGTTTCCCAGTGCCTTCCCTGGCCACCTATGTCCCCCCCAGGCCCCAGGAAGGGAAAGAGGACGTGGGCATGGGCGCAGAGGAGCCTTGACCACCCCGGGGCCCTGCCAGCCAGACCCTACCTGGAACAGTCGGCTCTTACTGGGGCTGGGGATTTTCTCCTTCCATTTCTGGTTCAGCCTGGAAAGACAGCAGGGAGGTGACGACGACCCCAGACCTCAGGGCAGCTGCCCGTGCTCATACACGGAGGAGAAACGGAGGCCCAGGGAGAGGGCGAGAGTTGTCCAAGAACCCCAGGGAGTGAGCGGCAGTGCAGGGGAGGGAGGGTCAGCTGCGGGGGCCGCTGGGGTGGTAAAGTATCCCCACTCTCGTCCATCACGGAGCCTCCTCACCTGTATCCATACACTCCACAGAAGCGCAGTGCCAGGAGCAAGACGAGGGTGGTGAAGACGAGGACGAGAGCCAGGCCCCACGTGGGCAGCACTACCGGGCAACCAGGAAAGAAAGAGGAGCATTAGCATCTGGGGGAGGGAAGGCTGCAAGCTCAGGCGGTGGGGCAGGGGGCCCAGGTGAGCCCAGGTGCAGTGCTCCAGAGGCTCATTGTCCTGGGGGGAGGGGTGGGCAGATACAGGCTAAGAAGATGCTGGAGGACTGGAGAGGACACAGAGGGATACATTCTGTCCGGTAGCAGGAGGTGCCTGGGAGGCGAGCAGTGGCAATTGCCCATGGCAACCACAGGGGACTTCCTGAAGAAGGCAGTATATAGGCATACCTCGGAGGTATGACAGATTTGGTTTCAGACCATTGCAATAAAGCAAATTTTGCAATAAAGTTAGGACATAGAAATGTTATGTTTACATTATACTGTAGTCTATTATGTGTGCAACAGCATTTAGTCTAAAAAATGTACAAAAATAAAATACCTGGGAATAAATTTAACCAAGAAGGTAAAAGTTTAAAAGCTCTGCACTTGAAAACTATAAGACATTAAAGAAAGAAATAGAAGAAGATACAAATAAATAGGAGCATATACTGTGCTCATGAATAGAAAAAAATAACATTGTTAAAATGTCCATACTACCTAAAGCAACCGATAGATTCGATGCAATTCCTATCAACATGCCGATGGCATTTTTCACAGAACCATGAAAGACCCCGAAAAGCCACAACAATCTTGGGAAAGGAGAACAAAGTTGGAGGTATCACCCTACCTGACATCAAACTATACTACAAAGCTATAGCAATCAAAACAACATGGTACTGGCATAAAAATGGACATAGATTCATGAAACATAAAAGAGAGCCCAGAAATAAACCCATGCCTATATCCTCAAGTAATATCTGAGAAAGGAGGCAAGAACACACAGTGGGGTGAAGACAGTCCATTTAACAGTGATGGGAAAATTGGACAAATACATGCAAAAAAACAAAAACAAAAACTAGACCACCAACTTACACCATAAACAAGAATAAACTCAAAATGGATTAAAGACTTGAAACTAAAACTCCTAGAAGAAAATATAGGTAGTAAATCTCTGACATTTCTCTTGGCAATTTTTTTTTTCTGATATATCTCCACAGACAAGGGAATCAAAAGAAAAAAAAAACAAATGGGACTATGTCAGACAAAAACGTTTTTGCGCAGCAAAGAAAACCATCAACAAAATGAAAAGACACTGAATGGAAGAAGATATTCACTAATGATACATCCCACAAGAGGTTACTATCCAAAATTTATAAAGAACTCAACACCAAAAATACAAACAATGCAATTAAAAAGTGGACAGAGGACCTGAATAAACACTTCTCCAAAGAGGATATACAGATGGTCAATACACACATGAAAAGATGCTCAATGTCACTAATAATCAGAGAAATGCATATTAAAACTCCAGTGAGCTATCACCTCACACCTGTTAGAATGGCTGTCATTAATAAGTCAGCAAACAAGTGTTGGCGAGGATGTGGAGAAAGTGTACCCTTGTGCACTGTTGTTGAGAATAAAGATTAGTGCAGCCACTTGGAAAATAGTGTGGAGTTCCCTCAAAAAATAAAAAAAGGAACTGCCTTATGACCCAGCCATATATCCACTCTGGGTATATATATCCAAAGAAAGCCCAAACACGAATTCGAAAGGATAGATGCACCCCTATGTTCATTGCAGTGTTATTTACAATAGACAAGATATGGAAGCAACCTAAGTGCCCATCGATAAACAAATGGATAAAGAAGAAATGGTAGATATATACAATGGAATATTACTCAGCTTTAAAAAGAATGAAATCTTACCACGTGTGAGGGCACAGATGGACCTAGAGTGTATTATGCTAAGTGAAATAAGTTAGACAGAGGAAGACAGATACCATATGGTTTTCCTTAGAGGTGGAATTTAAAGAACAAAAATGAACAGCAAAACAGAAGCAGACTCATAGATACAGAGAACAGACTGAGGGCTGTCAGAGGGAAGGGGACTGGGGGGCTGGGTGGAAAAGGTGAAGGGTTAAGAAGTACAAACGGGCAGTTACAGAGCAGTCCCGGGGATGTAAATACAGCCTAGGGAATATAGTTACTAATATTGTAATAACTATGTGTGGGTCCAGGTGGGTACCGGAAATATCAGGGAGATCTCTTTGCAAAGTATCTGACTATCTAATCACTACACCGTACACCTGAAATTAATACAAAATGATATTGAATGTAAACAGTGATTGAAAAGTAAATTTTAAAAAAATTTAAAACAGCCCAGCTGGTGTGGCTCAGTGGACTGAGCATCGTCCTATGGACTGAGAGGTCCCAGTTCCATTCCTGGTCAGGGCATTTGCCCAGGTTACAGGCTTGATCCCCAGTAGGGGGCGTGCAGGAGGTAGCCGATTGATGTTTCTCACACTGATGTTTCTATCTCTCCCTTCCTCTCTCTTTAAAAAATCCATAAAAGCAAATTAAAAAAATAAAAACAATGTCAATACTTCAACTAAAAAAATATTCCATTGCTAGATATTGTTAACCATCACCTCAGCAGGTGGAATTGTTCTTGCCGGTGGAGGGCCTGCCTCAGTGGTGACAGAAACAGAACACCCACAAGGCGCAGCGCGGAGAAGTGTGGACGGGAGGCATGCCCGTAAGCGCACCTTGCGGACAGGGAGGACAGGGGAGGCACAGGTGGGCACAACTGCACTCCGAGAGAATCAGCAGGTGCAAAGGCCCTCAGGGGCTCCTGCTGGGCAGCCTCCAGCCCCTCCAGGACAGCCCCTTCTCCCACCCCTGAGAGTCACGTGTTCGTCTCCTGGCGACCATTACGGTAAAAACCGAGGGACACGCCCTGGCTGGTTTGGCTCAGCAGTTAGAGCGTCGGCCTGCAGACCAAGGGGTCGCAGGTTCGATACCTGGTCAAGGGCACGTACCTGGGTTTTGGGTTTGATCCCCAGCCCTGATGGGGGTCGTGCGGGGGGCAGCCAATCGATGTGTCTCTTTCACATTGATGTTTCTCTCTCCCCCTACCTCCCTCCCTTCCTCTATCTAAAAATCAGTGGAAAATATCCTCAGGTGAGGATTAACAAAAAAAAAAAAAGAGAAAGAAAACAGTGAGGAACAAGTGAAAGTAGCAAAGGCGTCTACGGCCATACCACCCTGAACGCGCCCGATCTCGTCTGAAAGTAGCAAAGGCAGGGAAGTGGGAACATAAGGAATCGGATCAAAGCCTTCCTATCTCAGACCTGTCTGCGGGCCCTGATGTTTGCTTATGGTAACTGCAATCTCAGGCTGCGTGGTCACTGGGTAGTGGCCCACACAGAGGCTAATGAAGCCATGGGTCGTGTTAATAGAGGACTAAGGTCGAGTCTGAGGGAGGTGTGATGGTGAGACCCTCTCTCCACTGCTCTCTCGAGACCTCACATGTAGTCTGTCACACAGCGGGTGTCGCTTAAGGCGAGGCTGCTCGGGTGGGGTGCAGTCACATCTCCGTGTCTACACCCCCGGCCGTCACCCCGGCTGGGCTAGAGCAGGAGGGGGTGAGGGCGGGAAGACATACTCCACTCCGTGTCCCACGAGCTCTCCTTGCTCCAGTCGCTCCAGGGCCCGCCGTAGCCGCTGTGGTGCTTGACTCTCACCCTGGCCCGGTACCTGCTGGATGGCTCCAGAGGCGGCATCAACAGGAGGTGGGTGTCCCTGAGGCTCTCTGTCTTGCCCTCCTGTGGGTGCAGGTGTGTCAGCAGGTGTGCTGAGGCTGAGGTCACTTTCGGAGATCACGTGGGCAGAGCTACAAACACCCGAGCCCAGGTCTCCGCTACCCGGCAGCCACTGGTCCCACCCCCACTGTGGCTGCACCCTCAGGTCTGCAGGCCTGCAGAGAGAGAGCCTCTGGACGGACTGCACCCCTCTTGCAATGCACCCCTGTGATATATGACAACACCAAGGCCCAGAGACCCTAAGGGTGACTGTCCCATCCTCATCTTGAGACCCCGCGACCTCCCAGCTCCTCGGGGGTAGCCTGGACCCCAATTATGGCCTTCTCAGGAATGCATCAGGGTGACTGGACTCTGCACTCTGAGATGGGTTCAGGTGCTCGGGACTGAATCCCAGATCCACCACTGACCCACCCCTCCTGGCCTCAGTTTCTCCATTTCCATCCTGAAGGTCTTCAGGGGCTGGCTCCGAGGTTTCGGGTCTGGCCTCTGTGGAGCCCTAGATTCTGCACGTGGACCGAGGGCTGCCTGGGCTGGGGGCCTGAGCCGCTGCACATCTGTGTCCAGATGGGACTCCTCTGCAGAAGTGTCCCTTTATCACTTGTGAAAACCCCTCATCGAACATCAGGCAGCCCTCCTTGACCTGACGTCTTTGATATTCAGTGTCACATGTGTTCATTGTGGCCAAGTCCCCTCATCCCTCTGAGCCTCGGTTCCTTCACCGAGGGATGGAGCAGGGACCTGCTGACCACCAGGGCTTGATCACCAAGTCCCAGCGGCTTTTCTGACTGGCTGCCTGCTGGAGCCAGGCCTCCAGCAGGTGGCATCTTCTCGGGCTGTCTCACATGCCTCCCCACCAGGCCCCTCCAGGGCACAGGCCCTCACCTCCCACGAGGCTGCGTCCTTCTTGTACTGGACCTCGAAGGTGTGCTGTATGTGTTCGTAGGCCATTTTCTCTATTTGCCAGCGCAAAACGTAGCCATCTCTGCCCTTGGTCACATTGAGAGTCGGGGGAGCCATCTGGACTGGAGGGAGGAAACTTTTAGGGGACAGCGTTCCTAACATTCCTCCCACGGAACATTCCGTGTGTCCCAGGTGCTGTCTTCACTGGCCCCAGGACCCCAGGTGCTGCCTAGCTCGGGGTCTCTGCACCCCTACTTCACCATGCCATCTGTCTTGACCTGAGCAGCCCTGTTCTTGGGGACGTTGAGTTTTACTTGTTTTGTAGTGAGGTGACCCCAAGCATGGTGACTCATCGCATTTAAGTAAGATCACTTTTATTGGGTGTATTCTCGAGCCGTGACTGTTAGACACGCTCATTCTGCATGAATTATTTCACTCAGTTCTAGCAACAACCCTCTGGGGTAAGTACCATCCACTTGTCCTATTTTCCAGACAGAGAAACTGAGCCCCAGATCAATGAGTCCCTAGTCCAGGTCAGGTAGCTAGCCGGGGGTAGAGACCAAGGTTGGCTGATGTCAGGAGAGTAAGTGGTGGATTCTAACCCAGGTGCTTAACACAAATTGGCTGCTGCCTGTGACACACTGAGGAAGGGAAGACAGAGAGGAAGAACCTGGTCACCCGGAAATAATGTGGGGGTTCCTTTGCACGGGCCCTTGCTACATATCAGGATCCAGGGATATTAACCTGCCCGGAGCTTTGGCTTCCTTGCCCACACCCCAGCCCCCGACTGAAGAAGTAAATCATAGGTCAATTATTTTGAAGACTGAAAAGATCCATCCGCAAGGGCTTTGGAAACCTGAAAGCAGAAAACCCAATCAAGGAACGAACAGGAAAGTTTGGGGGGAGGACCAGGAGGCAGGGCTGAGCGGGAAATGCAGCGCAGCTGGAGACATGGGGGGGGGGGCGCTGGAGGAGCTGGAGAGGCGGGGGGTGGGGGGAATGGAGGACTTGGAGGAGCTGGAGAGGTGGGGGAGCTGGAGGAGCTGGAGGGGGCCTGGAGGAGCTGGAGGGGGCCTGGAGGAGCTGGAGTGGGGGGGCTGGAGGCACTGGAGGGGGCCTGGAGGAGCTGGAGTGGGGGGGCTGGAGGAGCTGGAGGGGGCCTGGAGGAGCTGGAGTGGGGGCTGGAGGAGCTGGAGGGGGCCTGGAGGAGCTGGAGGGGGCCTGGAGGAGCTGGAGTGGGGGGGCTGGAGGCGCTGGAGGGGGCCTGGAGGAGCTGGAGGGGGGGCTGGAGGAGCTGGAGGGGGCCTGGAGGAGCTGGAGTGGGGGGCTGGAGGAGCTGGAGGGGGCCTGGAGGAGCTGGAGGGGGCCTGGAGGAGCTGGAGTGGGGGAGCTGGAGGAGCTGGAGGGGGCCTGGAGGAGCTGGAGTGGGGGCTGGAGGAGCCGGAGGAATGGGTGGAAGATGTGTTCCCGGGACTGTCACGGAATCTCCTGCGTGCTACTTGCCATTGTCATTGTTGGGTTACTGCTTCCTGAGAACGTCAGGGCAGATTCTAATTACGTGCGTTCACTTTGTTCACTGCGTTTGTTGAAAGTTACAAACGTGAAGACAGGAACATGGGGAACCCTGAGGGACATGGTTCACACGATGAAACACAGTGCCCCCCCTCTCCCAAGAAGGCAGGGGCAAACTCACTGTTTTCTGAGCTCTTTATAAACTTCTCTTTCTTCTTTGGCCGAACAGAGACGAGGTACTGGCGGTGGTTCTGGGGGTCCACCACGGGAACCTGGCACCGGTGCCGGAGGTTGTGGCCGCGGGTCTCCTCCTTCAGCACGGGGGAGCATTCCTTCTCCCTGAGGGTCACGGCAGGGTGAGGGCAGGAGGGGGCAGGGACCACCCAGAGGCGGAGGGAGGCCTGCAGAGGGCAAGGCCTGGAGGAGGGGAGGGAACAGAGGGAGGGGACACTCACCCTGCATCAGGGCTGGACTTGTAGAAGAGGGTGAAGGAGACAGAGTCGGTCACCTCGGACCTCACTTCCCAGGAGCAGCTGAGCACGGTGCCCCCGTCAAAGAAGCACTGGAGATTCTGGGGCTGGGCCTCATCCCCTGGGAAGGGGTACAGTCCATCACCTGCTCCCTCATTCATTCATTCCCTCGCTCTCAGTGGCTGCCCACCATGAAACTCATCACTGAGAGACTCTGGGTTTTGGGGTCCAAAGGACCAGGGGTTAAATTTGAGCCTGAACCTGCCAACTGTGTGACCCAGCAGCACCTACATGGAGTGAAATCTGGGAACCTTCATGCCCCCTTTGGAAATGGGGACAGCGTCTAGTTTCAGGGCTGAGAGATTTAACACAGGAACGGTGCTTTGTCTGTTCATGGTGCAGCTCTCATGGAAACACTGCTGCTCAGAGCACCCAGGTGACTACCGTCTGGTGATCACCTGCAGACAGTGTGGCCCACAGGAGCCAGACGCTGGGCGCCCCTGCAGGCTCACATGGGCCGGTGGGCGCAGGGAGGCAGCTCTAAGCACCGGGCACAGAGGCTGGGGGAATCTGCAGCGTGGACCCCAGACTCCTTCTGCCTGGGAGCTGTAACGAGCCCCCTCCTCACAGAGGGGCACCGTCACCTCTCCACTCCCTCACCTGGCTGGGAGTCCCAGCGAACCTCCGGGCTCCACTGGCTGGGCCGTCCGGAGAGAGCAGAGCCCTGGCCCAGCCGGGTGCGTACCCGGGCCACGTAGGTGCTGCTGGGCACGAGGTGTCCTGGCCCCAGGTCAGCCTGCGGGGAGGTGGAGTAGAGGGTGGAGGCATCCTGTCGGGAGAGAGGGGCTGTTGGAGCAGTGCTGCTGGGCCAGGTCCCTGTGGGCCGTGGGCAGCGTTGGCCAAGGTCCCTACCTCCCAGGAGTCCTCAAGCCGCCTGTAGGCCACCTCAAACTCCAGGTTTGACAGCCACTGGCTCTGGGAACCCCCGAGGGCCACACTCCAGGTCAGCAGGAACCGGTCCCCGGCTGCACTGACGTTGAGGTCCCTGGGCGCGGGCGGCTGCACTGAGGGAGAGAGGCAAGGGCCTGTGAGGGCTGCCGGCTGGGGGGGGGGGGGGGCGGCCTGCGTGTCCCCAGGGGGACAGCCTGGGGTTCCAGGAGGAGCACTACCCCCACCAGCTGACTGCCCTTGGACAGCACCCCTGTCCTCTGAGGGCTTCAGGCCCTCACCTGCCAAACCATGGGGTTCACTGTGACCGAGGGCTGTGCGGATAGCTGTGCATTCCTAACATCTGCTCCATGCAAGGCGCGGGGCTATGCTCTAGGGCAGCCCAGCCTGTGGCCTGTGTAGCGTCCCCAGCCCTGCAGAGGGCACTGTGGCTCACCTTACTCCCTCTGTGCTGTCCACCCTCCTTCCCCTTCCATCCGCCCATGTCCTGCCCCTCTCAGCGCTTCCTCTAGGGCCTTCTTGGATTCCATTCCCCCGGCAGAGTCTTGGCTCCTTTTCCAGTCCCACTGAGGCAGCTGTGCGCTCCTTACCCTGGCGGGTTATGTGTTCCCACCTCTGCCTCCCAAAGTGGCCAAGGAGCTTGTAGGGGGGCAGAGTTTGGGTCTTGGTCCCTCTCCCTCTCCCCAGGGCCTGAGATGTCGTGGTTCAGTGAGTTGGGGGACAAAGTGAATGGAGACATGTAGGCAACCTTCAGAGACTTTTCATGACATCATTCCATCAACCAACAGTGAGCATGCCTCTGCCGGGACCTCCCGGGCTGGGCGAGCAGATTCGTTAATGCATGGCATGGCCCCTGCCCTCCTGGGGCGTCTGTGTCTGATGCCCAGGATGACATTCAAACACAGAGAATTCAGTGACAGCAAACAGGATGCAAGTGTTCTGTGCTGCACACGGAACACGGCGTGTTAGAGCATGGCAGAGCTGAGCCTTCGGGACCTCTGCAGCCCAGAATGGCAGAGGGCACCTCTGTCCCGCCCACAGTCACGCCAGGCATCACTCCCAGCCCCTGAGGCTTTGTGGAGTGAGGTTCCTCAGCATCGGGCTCTAGGAAGCTGAACCAACGGGGAACCCAACAGAAAACCTATTCATCCAGCCTGAGAGATGTTAGTACACTAGCCCATTTCACAGATGGAAAAACTGATGGAGGAGATAAAACACGCAGAGCTCCACATGTGGGAGCCTTGGGCAGACCAGAGGCCCACCTGGCCCCTCCCCAGGATCTCACGGACTCCCTGAACCATCGTCATAATAGTTGGGGTGGAACTGATTTCCTAACAAATGTCCCCCTCGCCTCCCCATTTTTATGGTGTCCCCTTATGCACTGGACACCTTCCCTGCTACCAGACCACAAGCTTCGTAAGGACCGGGCTCATTCGCTGCTTTCTGCCGTACGCAGCGCTCACGAGGGAACAAATCAGTAAATGAATCGCATGTACGTCCTACCTTGGATTCGTATTGTCCATCTCCCCGTCCCCTGCCACATCCCACTCCAACCCTCATCATTTCTCTATGGAATTAAGGCCTTAGGGCACCTTGTGGGCTCCAGTCTCCAGCCACTTTCTTTTTCTTTTTTTTCTTTTTTATCCTCACCCGAGGACATTTTTCCATTTTTTGTTCAGGCAGAGTGGGAGGGGGAGAGAGGAACAGAGAGAGAGAGAGAGAAACATGGATGTGAAAGGAACACATCGAGTGGCTGCCACCCACCCGCATGACCAACCGGGACCGGGGACAAACTGCAACCGAGGTACGTGCCCTTAGCGGGTCTCTTAGGACCGCAGGCCGACGCTCTAACCGCTGAGCCAAACCGGCCAGGGCTCCAGCCACTTTCTATCCTCTGCCATCTACCCAGGCTTCACCCCTCCGGTATCCTCACACACATCGGAGCGTGTCATGGCCTTTCAATGGCTTCCCGTTGCCCAGACGTTGCCCTATACATTCCTTCGCAGGGCACAGAAGGCTCTCCAGGTCAGGCCCCTGCCGTCGCTGCCCCGTCCTGCCTGCCGCTGTCCAGCCCTCTCGAAGCCGATGCTCTCAGGACACAATCACTAGCGGACTTTCTAACCTGCTCGCCCTCCCGCGTCTCCCAGGCTTTGCACGTGGTCTCCTCTGCTCTGCCTGCTCTCTCCTCCGCGCACCCTTCAGGTCTCTGCGAAGCTCTTTCCTCTGGGATCCTGTCCTGACCTCCCAGGGCCCCCTTGCCCACTGCCCCTCGGCACGTGGCACGCACCTGCCTTCAGTAAGTTCACCCAGACAATCCCTGCTGTTCCCTCTCCAGCCTGTACACTCTGAGCTCCCTGGGACAGGACTCTTTCTCATCCACCGAACACATGCTTTGAGACACTGTTTGACAGGAACTCAGCGTGGCCTGACCCACCCCCTCCTCCAGACAACAGCTTGCCGCCCTGATACAAAGAGGCAGGAAGCAAGGGCCGAGCCCCTCCCACCTGACACTTGTGAGATGCACCACAGTGTGGCCCAGAGTCTGGGACCCAGGGTCTGAATAACCCGGGGCGAGTTCCTTGCTCTCTCAGCTTCAGTTTCATCATCAGTGAATTGGGGTAAAAAATGCCATGCTCAACACCATATGTTATTGTAATTATTAAATAATACTGGGTAATGTTCCCTCAAAACCAGCCATCTGCAGGATTCTTGCCATGTGAACGTTAACGTTTAAAAATGACCCCCATCGCCCAGCCGATGTGGCTCAGTGATTGAGCATCGACCCATGCACCAAGAGGTCGCTGGTTCGATTCCCAGTCAGGGCACATGCCCAGGTTGTGTGCCCGATCCCCAGTGAAGGGCATGTAGGAGGCGGCCAATCAATGTTCTCTCTCATGGATGTTTCTCTCTCTCTCTCTCTCCCACTCCCTTCCCCTCTCTCTAAAATCAATAAAGATTTTAAACAATTATAAATAAATAAATAAATAAATAAATAAATAAATAATGACCCCCCACCTTTCTTTTAGTCTCATTCTGAGCACAAAATTATTGAATTATTGAATTAATGAGGTTGAGGTTCTGGTTATATTTCTGTGTAATGTACAGTCAAAGGAAGCCTCACTATTTCTGTGGAGTTATCACCAGGACCAGAGACCTTCTTGGGACGCTGGGCGCCCCTCTGGGAGGACAGAACGCTGGTGGGATCCCTCTGATGTGCGGGAAGCACTGGGCAAGCCTGAGTCATAATTGTCACTTCTGCCGAGTGGTGGCACTTGGAAAAGTTACGGAACCTCTCTGGTCTCAAGTGCCTCATCTGTAAGATGGGTTGTTGCAGACATTGAGACAACCCAGATGAGAGTCCTATCGAAGGATGAATCTTTATGTGCATCACAGGACTGGCTCTTCCAGAAGGGAAGCCGTGGCCGGTGGTGGAGCAGCGGGGCGGGGCGGGGGTCGCTTTGGCCAGGGGTCCTCACGTTGTAACTGCTCCAACACCTCCATCATAAGGACACCATATCCCCTTCCTTCAAGAGACCAAATCCAACTCCAGGCCAGTGTCTCCATCCCTTGACGACTCTGGCCCACCCTCTGCAGTCGGGCCAGCCCTGAGACCCACTGTCCACACTGGGGGTCACCCCGGCCAGGGACCCCAAGCCTCACCATGCTGGGTCAGGATAACGGTGAGCTGGGTGCCCAGAGGCCTGTCTGGTTGGAACGAGAAGTAGTCGTAGTCGGCCAAGATGAACTGGTTGTAGGGAATGACACATTTCCTGGGCACACAGGAAGACGTGCAGTTTGACCAGGGCATGTCCTCACTGAGCTCACAGGACACCGGCTGCGGGGTGTTCCTGGCAGGAAGGACATAAGTTGGTCTAGAGTGAGGAAGAATCACCCACTCGCAGCGCTTCTGGGTGGTTCCCTTGTTCGACGCTTTGCCGGGCCAGCGGGTCTGTCAGTGAACAGCACACCGAAATCCCTGGCTGCTGAGCCCGCACCCTGCTGGATGAAATACGCTGGGTGCCAGTCGATGTTCTCTCTCGACGTTTCTCTCTCTCCCTCTCCCTCCCTCTCTGTAAAAATCAATACAGAAAACAACAGCAACAACCAAGGGAGCCGAGGAGATGGGGTGGGGAGGCGCCCGGGCCGCGCCCCTTCTTGGCATCAGCAGGTGGGGTTGTGAATGACCCCAGAGGAGGCACAGGAGAGTGGGGACCGTGGTGGCAGCGATGACCGTGAGGGTCGCATCGGATGGGACCCCGGGGGCGGCAGGTGTGGGGCTCTGCCGTGGAGCCTGCTGTGTCCGTGCAGGAGGAAGCAGGTGGGCCGGGGTGGGGAGGGGGCAGGGGCAGAGGAGAGTGCAGAGAGACACAGAGGGTCCCGGGAGAGCAGGAGAGAGCGCTGAATGGGCCAGCTGTGGGTGCGACAGTGGGCTCCTCCCAGGGCGGGGGACGGCTCCTTGAACCCCATGAGCTGGCTGTCTAATGACTTCTATTACTGTGAGTTAGACTCTGTCCCACACCCGGCGTGGCGCGAGGTTTCTCCCCAAATGGCATGTGCCCCAGAGACCGTGTGACGGGAAAGGACAAACTCCTCAATCTGGAGGTTTCAGGGCCTTGGGGTTACATGGAGCCCCCCACAGGCCACACACAGATGTTGGCCATCATGGGGTGGGGTGAAGGACCTCCGCTCCACAGCCTCAGTTTCCTCATCTGTGCCTGGGTGGGCATCCTACCCCACCATGCCGCCCCCAAACGGAACATGTGCAGGAGATTTTGTTAAATTGAGATGAAATAATAGAATTATCACCAGCAGCAGCAGCAATATTAACACAGATGCTCTTCCCACAAACCCTGGTATCAGACGCCAGCACCTGGGCCTGGCGGCCACCGGAGGGAGCCGGAGCTCCAGGGCAGGGCCTCCCTCCTCTGTCCTCTGCCCAGCCTGCCCCTGGCACAGCCCCACACAGCAGCCCCTCCCTGCCCTCCAGCCCCTGAGCCCTGCTGTCACTCACGAGTTCAGCCTGTGGTAGAGGGTCACGTTGATGAACTGCTGTGCACCCCGAGTGTCCGCCCACCTGCAGATGATGCGGCTGGTATAGTCGTTATAGCAGCTCAGGGTCTGCAGCGGGATGGTCCCTGAGCCGGGAGAGGCGAGAAGGGGGTCACACCTTTCCCGTCCAGGTGCTCCTTGTTACCATCCCTCCCAGCCCCTCCTGGGCACCCAGTACTGGGGAAGGGTCTCCCAGCATCCTGTAGAGGCTCCTGGCTGCCAGACAGATGTCCCCTGGGGCCCTGGGCCGGGCAGGGCCGGGGCTCTGCAGGTGTGAGGGTGCTGGTTGTGAACCCTCCTATCTGGAGAGAAATCCAGTATTCTAGTTGATTCACAGCACATCTCCACGGCCTTCTCCTGGAACAGGGTCCCTGCCACCCAGGACAGGGACCTGCGTCAGGCACAGGTCCTGCTCCACGAGCCTTCAGGGCATCCCAGAAGAAAAAGCACAAACCCACCCCCAAGAGGCAGCGGGCAGAGCCCTACTCTGGGACCTCCTGCCCGTGTCCTTCGTCAGCTGCCAGGCCTGATCGGGGGAAAAGGGAATGAGGGTCCCAGGGTTATCAGAGACGCCAAGTTCTCTGGGAGTCCTCGGGGGCGGGGTTCGTGCCCCGCAGGCGGAGCCCAGCTGGGCCTCCGAGCACCAGGAGCCCAGTTGCTGGAGCCAAAGCTGGGAGAGCCCCAGGCTGAGGGCCCCAGGGAAGTGGGGGTCAGTCCAGGCCACTGTCCCAGCAGAGCTGGGGGCGGGGCAGAGAAGGGGCAGAGAAAAGGCTGGGGGGCGGCCTGGAGGTCAAAGCCTTGAATGCCACACTGAGAAATGTGGGCAGAGAAAGGTCACTAAAGGAACAATGAGCAGAAGTGTGGGAGGAGCGAGGGGCCCCGGGGAGGTGAGGGAGAGAGGACACGAGGGAACCAGGGAACCGAGGGAAGGAAGGCCAAAGCCACTGGGGGCTTACAGGGGGACCTGTAGGGGACAGCTTCCCCCAAGCCCCCTCCCCCCCCCCCCCCCCCGCAATGAGGAGGGGCCTGGGAAGAGGAGGAAAGGGAAGCGCAGTGGGGCTCACCTTCCGCCCCGGCCCCGGCGGGCTCCTGGCTCAGAGCCAGCAGGACGAGGGGGAGCAGCCACCCGGTCTGCTCCATCTCTGGGTCAGCTCTGCGCAGGGTCTGGGTCCTCACTGGCCTGGGATCTTGTGTCCCTCCCCAGGTGGGGGCAGGGCCAGACCCATGTCATCTGCTCTTGTGAATCTTCCCTCCAGGACTCTGCCTTCTCTGGGCCTGTGGAGGAAAAGTCATCCGGAGCTGCCCCTCCCAGGCCTGCATCCCCGGGGTCTTGGCCCACTTTTGGGGCGAACCCAAGGGTGGCCCTGATACATGGGCCCTAGCCCCCACTGCTGCCTCAGCCTGGCACCTTGGGCAGTCCCTTCCCCTTAGCCTCAGTCCCTGGGTGTTGGGGACGCACTCTCCCCTGGGTGTGGTCACGTGCACACGCACTCGCTGAGGCCCGGTGCTCTCCCCACCTCTGCCCGGTTCCTGGCATTCCTCCCACCCCTCTGAGTGTCAGTTCCCTTTTCTCAGCAGGACACGGGGATTTCCTCTTTCCATCCCGAGGAAGACAGCCTGAAATTTCACGTGGGTTGCAGAAACACACACACACACACACTCAGACACACACACACTCAGACACACACACACACTCAGACACACACACACTCAGACACACACACACACTCAGACACACACACACTCAGACACACACACACACAGCCACACACACACAGCCACACACACACTCAGACACACACACACTCAGACACACAGACACACACACACACACTCAGACACACACACACTCAGACACACACACACCCAGACACACACACACTCTCAGACACACACACAGCCACATACACACTCAGACACACACACTCAGACACACACACACTCAGACACACACACAGCCACACACACACACTCAGACACACACACACTCAGACACACACACACACACACACGATCAACGGACACAGACCCGACGAACACTATTTTAGCCAAGGATGTGCTATAGGGCGGAGGAATCATGAATCAACATGCGACGATGGAATAAGAAAACGTGCTGAGATAACTGAATAACCACATAAAACCTATCAGATAAATCCCTGTCTCACACCATTCCCCAAATATCAGGCTACTTTAAACTATCCGTGGAAGAAGTAAGCATATCACACTTGCAAACCAGAGAAGCAAACACCTTACACTCTTCAAGCGTTCAAGCTGTGGAAGAACCAGGGCGACGGAGACTGACAGATACAAGTACCTAAAAGCAAAATCTTCTATAGTTTATGAAAAGAACCAGACCATAAGCAAAGGACAAAATGCAGAAAAGAAATGTTGGCAGCAAAATGATGAGGAACAGTTTACTATCTCTACATTGTAAATGGTTAAAACAAATTACTGTCATCAGAGGACACAAGCCTCAAATCCGCATACACGCAGGAAATGCGTATTCGTGGCCAAGAATGACAAAACGCTGACCGAGAGCCAGGCAGGTTCCAAGCCTTTCCAGATATCAGCACACGGAAGTGCAGGTTACTACGAGAATCCCCACTCTGTGGATGAGCAAACAGGTAGACGGTCCACAATCACACAGCTAGTCAAGGGCAGACTGTGACCGAAGCCACTAGTGGGCGCTAGTTTGTGCTCTTCACCACCACACCGATAGCGGTTGTATTTCCCAGTCAGTGGTCTCATACGTGGCTATTGAGATGTGTACGGATCCAAAAGACATTTCTGCAGATGTGCATAAATACAGCCCAAACAAAACTTTTCTTTTTAATTATTCCTCACTCTAGGATATGTTTAGAGAGAGGAAGGGAGAGAGAGGAACATCAACTGGTCGTCTCCTGTATATGCCCTGACTGAGGATCCAACCTGCAACCTAGGTATGTACCCTGATTGGGAATCAAACGCACAACTTTTTGGTATACCCGATGACACTCCAACCAACCGAGTCACCTGGCCAGGGCCAAAACAAAACTTTAAAACATCTTAGCGTCTGCAGGGAGATTTGAGCAATCATGGCCATAAAAGAACAGACTGCTATGCAAAGAATAAACAAACAGATCTTAGCATTTTATGGTAAAAAAAAAAAATCTATAGTTAGCCCAGCTGGTGTGGCTCAGTGGATTGAGCATCGTCCCACGGACTGAGAGGTCCGGGTCCGATTCCCGGTCAGGGCACATGCCCGGCTTTCGGGCTTGATCCCTGGTGGGGGGCGTGCAGGAGGCAGCTGATCTATGTATCTCTCTCACATCAATGTTTCTATTCTCTCTCCCATCCTGTCTCTCTAAAAAAAATCAATAAAAACATATTTTTAAAAAATCCATAATTTAAAAAAACTCAGGAATGGGCCAAATTACAGAATGAACACTACAAACAATCATGTTACTATGGTGCATGTTGCAGACAGAGCGAATGGCAAGGAGCAGGGACAGGCTTAGAGAAAAGTTGAGACCTGGGAAGAAAACCCAGCAGTTCCAACATCTAGAAGCAGAGGACAGACGGAATTGAGGGGGTATGGCAGACAGCGTCCCCCAATTCTCTGTCCCTTTCCTCCTTGGTAACCGAAGTTCAGGGTTTTGTTTTGTTTTAATCCTCACCCAAGCATATTTTTGGTAACAGAAATTCAGGTTTTTATTTTTTGTTGTTGTTGTTATGTTTTTTAATCCTCACCCAAGTATATTTTATTTTTGGTAACAGAAGTTCAGGTTTTTTAAAAAATCCTCACCTGAGGATATTTTTCCATTGATTTCTAGATAGAGTAGGAGGGGGGAAGAGAGAAAGCAATGTGAGAGAGACACATCTATTGGCTGCCTCCGGAAAGACCCCCACCAGGGCCAGGAATCAAACCTGCAACTGAGGTACATGCCCTTGATGGGGAATTGAACCCACAACTATTTGGTTCATGGGCTGACACTCTAACTGCTGAGCCAAACTGGACAGGGCAGAAGTTCAGGTTTTACTGGGGCTTTTTGCTGCACAGGATAAAAGACATTTCCTACAGTTTCCTACGATTAGTTGTGGTCATATGACTAAATGTTATTCAAGGAGATATGAATGGAAACAATGGATGTGATATCCAAAAAGGCTGTTTAAAGGGAGTTGGCTCAGGTGGAAGAGGTCTATTTCTGTCTTCCTATCTTTCTTCCCTTTTCCATTCTGCAACTTGGAAGTGATGGCTGGAGCTCCAGCAGCCATTTTGGACCATAAGGTTACCATAAGGATGAAAGCCATAAACAACAGAAAAAAAGAAACCTGGATTCCTCTTTCCACTGTGGGGCCACTATACCAGCCTGAGACTGCTTACTTCTAGACATCTTTTATGTGAGAAAAAAATTAAACTCCTGCATTGTTAAACCATTGTTGTTTGGGGATTTTCCGTATGCACACAAATACAATTAGAAGAAAACTTTACAGGGCTTTGAGAGTGACAAGAATTGACTCTGTGAAGAGCAAAATTAATTTGGAATACTGCCGTCCTCAGTCACATACTGGTGAACTTCCTTCAGCCAGAATAAAAGGGTAATCCTGGCAGCTTCCAGAATAAAAGAAACAGACAGGTTATTTTTAACACAGCGAGTCAGGTTGGCAATATTTGTCTCAAGAAGTTAGTGACCCTGACCTTCAACTACACAGTGATGTCCTGAAAATATGGAGAGAAAATATGTTTAAACCTAGAATCATTAAAAAAAAAAAAATCAAGTATATTTTGAAGTTCAAGGGCAAAACACCACCACATTTGGGAAATGTAAGGACAAGAAAAGCATTTTAGGTCTTCTCTGAAAAAAATTACTCTAGGATATATTTTAGAAAAGAAAAATCTAAGAAAGAAACACGTGATACTGGATCAGGGCGAGAAAATAAACCAGGAAGACGAATGCTCCTGTACAGAGTGAGAATAAATACAAGGTCCCAGTATTACATTCGAAAAGCACGTGGTTGGATGTGGGAGTTGGCTGCGAAGCTGAAGGGGACTGCAGACAAGAAGTGAAACTTGCTAAGGAGCTTGTCTTACTTTGCAAGAGCCTCTGTTTGTTAGTTAAACCCAACTTCTGATGGAAGATAGAGGTTAAATATTTTGCTAAAAACATGAGGGTTAAACATCACCAGGAGTGAGCGGCAGCCACAGGGGTTAGAAGACGGCAGAGAGGGAAAGGAGAAGAAGGGAGAGGGAAAAACAGAAGAGAAAAACCAAATATCTTCTCACGCAGAATAAACATGCACACCAAAATTCCCGAACTCCTGAAGACATGTAATGGCAGACATAAAAACTGGAAATGAAAAAGAAAAAAAAGAAAAAAACAATTCACTGGAGACAAAAACAATTGCAGAGGACAATCGGACAAAGGCTTTTAAAGAAAGAATGTGTCATGGCCACGTAGGGATTATTCCAGAAATAGACCGAGAACCATTAAGAAATCTACCCGTGATTAAAAAAACAGAGGGCCTGGCCGGTGGCTCAGTGGTTAGCGTCGACCCATGCACCAAGAAGTCGTTTTCGATTCCCAGTCAGGACATGTGCCCAGGTTGTGGGCTCGATCCCCAGAGGGGGGCGTGCAGGAGGCAGACAATTGACGTTCTCTCTTATCAATGTCTCTATCTCTCTCCCTCTTCCTTCCTCTTTCTAAAATCAATAAAAAATAAAGAAAGAAAAAAAATTCTAAAAGAAACAGAGGAACAGATTAAAGGAGGAAAAAAGGGCAAGTTTATTTTGACAGATGCATCTAAATATTTAATAGCCCAAAAGCCATTCTTGATTAAACAAACAAATCAACAAACCTCAGCAAAGGAGGGGATGAAGGAGAGGCTGGCATTTCTGGTGACTATTAGAAAACTGTGGCAACATCAGCAGCAGAGAACGTTAGTGCCCCCCACCCTGTCAGAGGCGTAAAAAAGGCTGCCCACGATCACCTGTCCTGTCCCAAATGATCTCTAAATTCAGTTCAATCTCAATCAAAATTTCAAAAAAGTTTCAAAAGGATTTTTAGTGGATTTGACAAAGTGATGCAAAATTATAACAAACCAAAGATGAGAGACTTGGTCTGTTCGCTAGAAAAATAACAAGGAATGTAATAATAGACAGATGGCACAGAACAGGGCAAGGGCAATAAGCAAGTAGGGATTTGGGAAGTGCTCATGGCATGACAGCCCCCGAGCAAGGATGGGCTCATCCACACACATGTAATTAGTGATACTGCCACAATTAGCTGATCATTTTTTTTTTTTTTATCCTCACCTGAGGACATTTTTCCATTTTTTGTTCAGATAGAGCGGGAGGGAGAGAGAGGAAGAGAGAGAGAGAGAAACATCGATGTGAAGAGACACATCGAGTGGCTGCCACCAGCACGACCAACCAGGGCCGGGGACAAACTGCAACCGAGGTACGTGCCCTTAGCGGGAACCGAACCCGGGTCTCTCTGGACCGCAGGCCGACGCTCCAACCGCTGAGCCAAACCGGCCAGGGCATAGCTGATCATTTTTGAAGTTAGATTATTCCTTTACATATTACTCGTCCTGCTAACTTCTGGGTGGATTAAAGATCTAAAAATCACAACTAAAATGATAAAAGCATCACAAATATTTTCTTAATCCTAAGGATCGAACAAGGCATCAAATCCAGAAAGTATTAAAATATAATGACATCCTCGGGTGAGGATAAAAAAAAAAAAAAAGTTTGCCCTGGCCAGTTTGGCTCAGCGGTTAGAGCGTCGGCCTGTGGTCCTGAGAGACCCGGGTTCGGTTCCCGCTAAGGGCGCGTACCTAGGTTGCAGTTTGTCCCTGGCTCTGGTCGGTTGTGCGGGTGGCAGCCACTCGATGTGTCCCTTTCACGTCGATGTTTCTCTCTGTCTTCCTCTCTCTCCTTCCCACTCTATCTGAACAAAAAAATGGAAAAATGTCCTTGGGTGAGGATAAAAAAAAGAAAAGAAAATGGACAAAAGACATTCCATGTATATCATCAAGGGAGGTCATTCGGTGAAGACACATAATTTCACCCACATTCAGAGAAAATAAATCCAAGTGAGAACCAGATGAGTGTCATCCATTACGTTGGAACCAATGATAAAATTCCTTCCTTACAGAGAAGTTAGCCTTTTCAATGCACGACTGTGTGGGTCCCTGTTAATTCTGCTACTTTGAGGATGACTTGGAAATATCTATATCCATTTTAAAACATGCCGTCTCTTGCCCAGCAATTCTGCTTCCAGCCATCAGGGTACCTGTGTGGGAAAACTGGAAGCCACCTACATGTCCATCAATGAGGGACTGGGGAGATGGTGGCGTGTCCATACTAATAAATGCCACCTACTTTTTAGGGTTAATACATGAGTTCAGTCTATATGGAGCATTGTGGAAAGTTGCTAAAACATAACATCAAGTGAGAAAATAATTCAGAACAAGACATATGTGATGATCCCATGTGTGTACAAAGAAAAACTATGTGTACACTACGTTTAGAAAGTGTCTGAGGATATCGTGGTGAAGAGGGTGGGGTGCGGGACTAGGGGTGCGAGACTAGGGTTGACACTGCCTCTGATGCCGCATAGTTCTGGATTATTCTGACTTTGCATAGAGCAGATGTCCATGCATTTACTGTCTGATATGAAATGCGCCATTAACTCATGAACTGTACTTGAATGCGGCACCAGGTAGCAAAGCTGATGAATGAAAAGGAGTGACCTGAAGCTACCAGGAAAGGTTTTACTCCTTATAAAACTGTTAGACAGCCCTGGCCAGTTCGGATCAGCGGCTGGAGCGTCGGCCCGCGGACCAGAGAGTCTCGGGTTCAGTTCCCGCTAAGGGCATGTACCTCGGTTGCATTTTGTCCCCAGTCCTGGTTGGGGTCGTGTGGGTGGCGGCCAGTTGATGTGTCTCTCTCACATCAATGTTTCTCTCTCTCTTCCTCTCTCTCTCCCTCCCACTCTTTCTGAAGATAAATGCAAAAATGTCCTCGGGTGAGAATAAAAAAAAAACAAAAAACTGTTAGACAGGAGGAAGGATGATAGGTAGAGCAAATTAGAATCTACTTGGGCAAAATGTAACAGGGTCTTGGAAGAGGAAAAATCACATATGGGCAACTTGTCACTAAAGGCTATTTGGCGAGGCCCGTGGGCTCGTACCCCAGCGCGGACCCACAGCCCTGCCCACCCATCCACAGGGCGACTGCACACACCTGCACATGCATGCCGACACCTGTGGATACCCACCTACCCACCCAGACAACATACTTGGGGACAAGGCACACACTGGGGTCCCAACCCAGCTAAGTGACAGCACTGAGGGGTGAGTGTGACCCCCAAAGCATTGTCTCAGGGCGAAAGCGTGTCCGTGGGTAAGGGCCCCCTCTCGTTTCCCATGGCTAGCTTTCCCAAGCTGCACCAGGCCCTGGGCTTGAGCACAGCAAGGCTCCAGGCATCCCCAGGGGCCCCCCAGTCTCCCCACACCCCCGTATCCCCATGGACACCTTGTGCGTTCCCTCTCTCCTCACCCCACCTCTCTCTCTCTCTCTCTCTCTCTCTCATACACACACACACACACACACACACACACACACACACACACACAGTCGGGGCTCCCCCTATTCTAGAGACGAGGACACAGAGCCCAGAGCAGGGCTGGATGTTCCCGGTGACACCTTAGTAAACAGCAAAGATGGACGGTACACACTGTGTGACTCCCAGGCCTGAGCTCTCCACCACCCCCGGCGTAACTCCCTGCTTCCAGGACAGCTGGACTCCACCAGGGAGGCCTGTCCTCCCCGCAAGCCCTTCACACAGCGCCCCAGCAGGTCAGCGCCCCATTAACTCCTTGCCCACCAGCTGCCAGAGGAGTCTGGGCTCAAGTCTTTCCAAGAGACCAAGCCCTAACCTTCCCAAGTCCCCAGGCTCACCCTGTCCCTTCTGTCCCAGTCCCCTCACTCTCCCCTGCTCTCCGCCGCACCTGTCCACCTGCACCCTGAAGCCCGGCCATACCTCTGTGGGGAGAGGGACCGACCTTCTGCTGGAGCCTCCGGGCGGCAGTGAGCCGCTCCGCTTCCTATTTATGCTGACGTTGTTAGGAAACCGAGAAGCAGAAAGAGGAAGCGATGCCCAGGCCAGTTTCTGAACAAGTGGCTCTTCCCAAGATCGCCCGGCTTCTCAGAACTGTGAACATCACATCTGTGCTCATTCTGAGCCTTATTGATTTAGCCAGTGTTCCCGCTGCCAGAAGAACCTCTACCCCATGTTGTCCCCCTATAAACTTCTACACATGCTCTGACTGTCCGCTCAATGCCAAGTTCCTCCATGCAGCCTCCCCTGACGTTACGGGGGATGCAGCGGGGCGCAGGGGGATGCAGTGGGGTGCAGGGGATGCAGCGGGGCTCGGGGGAAGCAGCAGGGGGCAGGGGGAGGCAGCTGCAATACCCAGAGCAGGTGAGAGCCCAGAGCTGCGTGGACCTGGGCTGGACCCCACCTTCATACTGCTCAGTGTGACCTTGTGCAAACGCCCTGCATGTAACTGTGCCAGGTCTCAGAACCCCTCTCTGTTGCGTACAAGCATCTGAAACATCACAGGGCCACTGAGAGAACCAATGAGATGCTGATGGCAACACCTGAGCTCAGACCTGGCCACAGTCACCCCCAAGGGTTAGCTGGTATTATTTTGATCCCCCAATGTCCTCTTGTCTTGCACATGCCCACACTGTCCCACAGTCCTCGGTGTCCATGGCTGTCTTTTCCCAACACTCTTCTGTGTGGCCCAGGTTCTCTCCCCAGCACCCAGCACCCAGCACCCAGCACCCAGCACCCAGCACCCAGCACGGGCTCTAGCACGGAGGGGCCCTTCGTGACTGGAGGCGGAATGAATGGAAGACTCCTGAGCACAGCGGGGCGGGGGGGGGGGGTGGTGGGCAAACTGAGTGAGGATCCCCTTGGGTATAAAATTTAAAAAGGCACCCAAACACTCAGTAATAAAGACACACAATGTTTTAATGCAATATTGTAAAAAGCAAAAATTCATGCAAAAAATCTACAATAAACAAAATATGAAATTTAAAATAAAGACAAGCTCAGTAACAGTGCCCTGCGTAGTTCTTGGAGTCTGCGGCAGGAGGCAAAGGCAGAGACAGAGCGAGGGAAGCGGAGGATGTTTCCCAGGGAGGAGGGTACAGGGACGGGACAAGGGGCAAGAAGGTCCAAAGCCACTGTCCGGCCTCCCTTCTGCCAGGAAGGGCAAGCCTGGCCCAGGCTGGAGGGCAGCGTGGTGGCTACAGGGCCCGAGTGCCCCGGGACTTTTGCTGGAGAGGTTGTGCAGGGGTCTGTCCGGGGCTGGAGAGGAGGCAGGCAAAGTAACGTCAGGGCCTATCTTCCCTCCTGGGCGTGCCCACCCAGCTCGGCTCCCTCCCTCGGCTTCTCTGCGCTGGCAGGGTAAGGGCTGGGCACCCCTAAGGGGCCAACCCAGCCTGTTCTGCAGAAGCCCGTTGTGGGGAGAGAGGCCCTTCCAGACTCAGGGTGGGTGGTCCACGTGGCCCATCACTGGCCCGAAGCACGAAGCATGGGGACTGAGAGACCAGCAGGGGCGCTGGGATCTGCAGGTCGCCAGGGAGCTCCGGAAGCTCTATCTCTCTGTCCCCAGGGAAGGCCTAACCACCACTGCCCACCAAGAGAGGGCAAGAGAGCCCCTCTGGGAGGAGTCCGGCTCCCAGTTAAATTCCTGGGATTTTCAGGCCCCGTCCCAGGCCATTGCAAAGCTTTCCCAGCAGGCCTCATGGAGCAACGGCCCCCACGTGACTCCTGCACAGGGTCGGCAGTCTCCCAGGGCCTTGCTGGCGAGGACCCGGGCCCTGGCCACCGCTGCCACATGTTCTCTTGCCAAGACCTCCTCTTCTAAGGAGGCCTTCTTATGGGGAAGAAAGGGAGAAACACCTGACTCCCTCCATGGAGCCGCCTCCCCTCCCCTCCCCCTCCCCTCCCCCTACTTCTCCCCTCCCCATCCCCCTGTCCCCTCTGCTCATCCCCTCCCTCTCCCCTCCCCCTGTCCCCTCTGCTCTCACCCCTCCTCATCCCCTCCCCCTCCTCTCTCCCTCTCCCCTCGATCTCCCCAAACCCCAGCGAGCCTTTTGTTCTGGTTCCCTGCAGTGGCAGGATCCACCTGGCCCTCCACAGGTACTTCCTTTCACGGGGAAAGTGGAAATGGGGGGATTTGGTACTTTCTTGGGTTTTACACTCTTGCTTCTACCTTCGCAGTATATGATCGAGGCTTAGCTCCTTCTGTTTGGGTCACGTGGCTTTACCTGCTCCTCCCACACCTGGCCGCTCAGTTCCTCTCCCAGCCTAAGTGCGCTCCTGACAGCTGGCCTCAGCTTTCCCGGGAGGGCAGAGGTGCACCTCAGTTTCGGGCTCCCGTGTGACAGGGACTCAGTAGTGAGGTGGCCTGAGAATAGAATACCAGAATTTCGCATCGTTCAACTTTGAAAAAGAAAGTTGCCAATAATATAAAAACAAGCAGAGCAGCAAAAGCAATAAGACGTCAAGACAAAATAAAACGAGACAAAATAAAAGGAGACGAGCTTAGTCGTGCCCGCGAGCGCGCCTTCGATGTGGGTGTGTGATCTCGCAGGGGCGTGGGGCTGGGGTGACTCGGTCCCGCTCCCAGCCTTGTCCTCTGGGCTCTGGTTCCCGGCCAGCTGCCCCGAGAGCCACGGAGCCCAGCTCCTCTCTGCCTGGGTCCAAGGAAGTTTGGCTCGTGGAATTTAAGAAAAAGTTTTCAATTGTATCTACTTTTATATTTTTAAATGTCCATGCTCCAAAGTGTACAAATCTTAAGTGTATAGTTCAGTGAATCTTTATAAATCTATACACCCATGTAACCACCACCAACTCAAATATAGAACATTCCAGACTCCAGAAGCCTCCTTTGCTGGCCCTCTGTCTCTGTCTCTCAAAGGTAACCACTACTCTGGTTGTTCTCACTGTAACTTAGTTGTGCCTGCTTTTAAAATTGTGGTTAAATATACATAACATAAAATAGTCATTTTTGCCATTTTTAAAAGATTTATTCATTGACTTTTTTAGAGAGAGACAGAGAGAAAAACATCAACATGAGCACAAACATGGATTAGCTGTCTCCTGCACACCCCCTACTAACCGGCAGCCTTTCGGTGCAGGGACGATGCCCAACCCACCGAGCCACATTGGCCAGGGCCATTGCTACTGCTTTTAAGCGTCCACTTCAGTGGCATTAGCACCTTTAATTGTTGTACAACTATCACCACCATCCATCTCCAGAACCTTCTCATCATCTCCGGCTGAAACTCTGACCCCATTAAACAGTAACTCCCCACTCTCTCCCCCCAGTCCTTGGCACCCACATTCTACTTTCTGTTTCCATGATTGTTCCTCCTCTAGGTACCTCGTATAAAAATTATACTATATTTGTCTTTTTTGTTTCTGGCTTCTTTTACTTTCATAATGTCTTTGTGGTTCATCCACACTGTAACATGTGTCAGAATTTCCTTCTTTTAAAGCTGAATAATATTCCGTTACATGGATATACCACATTTTGCTTATCCACTCATGTATAACTAGACATTTGGGTTGATTCCACCTTTGGGCTGTCATGAATAATGCTGCTGATGAACACTGCCATCCATTCTTTGGGGTGTATACTTAGAGGTGAAATTGCTGGTCATACGGTGCTTATGTTTATTTTTATTTTATTTTTGGTAATTTTAAATTTTTTTGTTAATTTATTTTTGTTACAGATGTTTCTTCTTTTCCCCCCATTGACACCCTCCTCCCAATCCCACCCCACTCCCCTATCCTGTCCCCAGCATTGTTGTCTATGTCCATGATTATGCATACATGCATATAAGTTCTGTGGTTTATTTCTTCCCTCCCCCCTGACCCCCTCTTCTGAGGTTTGTCAGTCTTTACCCTACTTCTATGTTTCTGGGTCTATTTTGTTCATCAGCTTGTTTTGTTCATTATATTCCACACATAAGTGAGATTATGTGATATTTGTCTTTCTTTGATTGGCTTGTTTCGCTTAGGATAATACTCTCCAGGTCCTTTTATGTCATCTCAAAAGATAAGAGATCTCTCTTTCTTACAGCTGCATAGTGTTCCATTGTGTACATGTACCACAGCTTTTTTATCCACTTATCTATTGATGGACACTTGGGCTGTTTCCAGATCTTAGCGATTGTAAATAATGCTGCTATAAACATAAGGGTACATATATTCTTTCTGATTGGTGTTTCAGGCTTCTTAGGGTATCTTCCTAGAAGTGGGATCATAGGTCAAATGGCAGTTCAATTTTTAACTTTTTGAGGTAACACCATAGTGTACTAGTGTCCCCTTTTCTCCACACCCTGGCCAGCACTTGTTGTTTGATGATTTGTTGATGGCAGCTCTTCTGGTAGGTGTGAGGTGATACCTGATTGTTGTTTTAATTTGCATCTCTCTGATGATTAGTGACGTTGAGCATTTTTTCATATGTCTCTTGGCCATTTGTATGTCCTGTTTGGAGAGGTGTCTCTTTAGGTCCTCTGCCCATTTTTTAAATTGGGTTCTTTGTCTTTCTTCTGTTGAGTTGTGTGAGTACTCTATATGTTTTGGAAATTAACCCCTTATCTGATGTATTATTGGCAATTATGCTTTCCCATATTGTGGGTTCCCTTTTAATTTTGATGGTTGTTTCTTCTGCTGTGCAGAAACTTTTTAGTTTGATGTAGTCCCATGTGTTTTCATTTTTTCCTTTGTTTCTCTTGCCTTAAGCATTGTATCAATGAAAATTCTGCTGCATGTGATGTCTGAAATTTTGTTGCTTACATTTTCTTCTAGGATTTTAATAAATTCATGAGTCACATTTAAGCCTTTTATCCATTTTGAGTTTATTCTTGTGTATGGTGTAAGCTGGTGGTCTAACTTCATTTTTTTGCATGTAGCTGTCCAATTTTTCCAACACCATTTATTGAAGAGGCTGTCTTTACTCCACTGTATGCTTTTGCCACCTTTGTCAAATATTAATTG